TGTGGTTTAGGAAACACTTTTTTTTTTTTTTAAATATTGATTTAAATCTGAGTTTGTTGCAATGATAAAAGTGACCGAAAGCCTCAGTTTGATAAGTCAGAGGGTATTTTTAGCTAATTTGGACTTCACGTTACATCTCTAATACGGGATTCATAGATGAGTTACCCTTAAGCTTTTCAATTTCTATCTTTGCCTTGCCTTTAACCAGCTACAGTCCTACCTAGTCCTAGCTAGCAAAATGCCAAGGTCCTTCACAGCCGATTGAAATTCTGCAGGCCTTCACCTTACAGAGCTGAGTTCTCTCAAGATACCATTACCTGTATCAGTAAATGGAAAAACATCAAATAAATGAAAATGCAGAGGAGTTGTTCTTGCAGCTAGACTGCAAAATACCTGTAGATGTATCAGATACGCATCATAGGTACATGCATATATCTAGTAATTACATACACACAGAGTCTTACAAAACCGAGATGCTATCCCATGCAGATCACAAACCTGAAAAGACCAAATCTACCTGTAAAGGTGAGGGCAGACAACACGGGCAGAAGTACGCAATCAGGGCAAAATGTGATCTATCGCTGCATCTCCGCAACGCCCAATGCTGGCATCGAGACTCCAACAGGTAATGCTTTTGAAATACCGCCACCTGACTACTGGATATATGACCGCCTGAAGCCTGATCTTGCACTATAAAAGGCAAACCTATTAGTACACATTTACAGACTTACAGTCCATAAATCTTGTATTTGTTCCCATAGAAAAGACAGCTAAAGCAAAGAGATGCCTTGTTCAAACTCAGCTTAATGCCTGAGCATATACTGCCTTTTTTCTAAATTAACAGCAAACTCATCTACTATGAGGATCAGTAAATAGGCCTTTAAAAAATGGAAAATAACAAGCATAGAGTTTTAAAATCGACAAATCAACAAAACAGAGAACATTTTTTTTTTTTCAGTTGTAATTGGAACAACACAGCTTTAAAATTAACACCATGCTGCAGTAAAGAACCATTCGAGTAATAACACCCACTAAAAAGGGTAACAGAATTGATTCCAGGTTAGAGAAATTAAGTTCAAATGCTTTGTCCACAGCAATTGGGGGTTGGTTGGTTTGGTTTGTTAAAACAGTTCTCTGCCAACTTTTGCTAGTAGGCAGGATCTAATTCAGATGTAGAATCAATTCCAAACTGCTGCTGTAAGCAAGTGGGCAGTAGGTTTGGGTTTTGCTCATTTTGTTTTTAAACAAGACACTCAGAGGAGCATTTTTACTTATTATCATGAAAGGAAAGAGGTCTTTTGGGGGCTACTAGCAATAAGTAAACATGCTCAGAAATACTTCTATTTGATGCCACTTAATTGGAACATTTACCTGATTTTGGTCAGCCATGCTAACCCACAGCTGTTGGAGGTTATCCTCAGAAAAAGCCCTTTTCTGGTTTTCTCCCAGTGACAGGCCTCACTGTATCAAGTCTTCCTGCTCTCTTTTACTTCTACTGCAGCAGGGTGTTGGAGAGAAACGAGTACTGGATTCAGTGTGTAATATGCACACCATTTTGTGCAATTAAAGAAAATCTCGGATTTGTTATCAGCACCTCAATGGCTTATCCTTGATAAGAGGAAAAATTACTCTTATATCAATTTTCTAAAATTAGGAGTATCAGTGAAAGACGTGGTCTTTGGAAGACTATAATAATGCTCCCATTCAAGCATCATCATATCTGAAAAAAAAAATAAAAAAATTAGTCTTAAAGCAACCCCATGATTTGCTCCCTAAATCTATGTACTTCATTTCACCTGATCAGTTGTTTGTCACCATAATTTGCTATGCCATATCTAAAACTACCTCAAGCTTGAAAACTCCTCAGGGCCATGCCTAAATGTTCGCTCTTTATCACCCAGGCATACTTTCAGACAGTAAAAATACTAGAGTAAATGCAGGTGATGGAGAAGAAGGGTAAAAAGAGAAATCTCCCAGTTTTCTGCCCATAAGGAGAACAGTACATTTCAGTACAAACCTCTCAGCAAGTTTGCCTTTCTGGAGCACACACCTAAGTTCTAGTTTAACATCCTGTTTTCTAGCTGGAACTATACCCGCTGGTCCATGCTATCCTTCGCTTTTTCCTAAACATCTGCTCCTGATCACTGTTAGAAACAGGACCTGGAGCTAGACAGAGCTTTGGTTCGTCCCAACATGAACAGCCTCTGTTTTTTCTTAAAGGATTACATACTGATTGATTTTGCACTGTTTTAGCAAGGACAGTGAAAGCATTTTCTGAAGACAGTTTGATTAACCTTATTTTAGTTCTCAAATTTAGTCAGATCTCCTCTCCAATCTAAAAAATTAAAAAAAAAAAATAAATCTTAATTTTTGCCATATTTCTGAATGCGTGCCAGTTCCAACTCTAAACTCCATTTCTTTGTTATGTGTTTCTAGGCCTTCCCAGTCTCTGTTAAGTAACTGTACACCATTCTGACACTGGCACTCCAGGCAAATGCATTCAGTACAACAGTATAACACTATCTACATGACTTTAAATCCTTTTTAGATATACTCACAAGCCCTGCTTATTTCTAAACTGTTGCCCTGCAGTTCTCAAGATCTGGAAACTATTGGCAAGTTCCCACAAACACACTCCAGAACTTTAGGTGTAATGGTATCACTGCTTTTACTGAAATTAATCCCAGTACTACAAGTGAAGTGTGAGGTCCAGCTGCTTCACCTACTGTCTGTCCTGGCACAGTGCACTAAAGCTTCTGTTCTCCCCAAGGGCACTAGGATAATGGTAGACAAGGATTTTCTGCAATTAACAAAAGGAAAATATAACAATCAACAATGAAACTCTTAGTAGGAAGACTGATTTGCTTAAGCTTCTTTTTAAAGAATAGTAGCTTTTAGTTCTTTCCAATTTTTGAATGATTTTAACAGTTCATGCCATGCCATCTGCTTCCACAGCCTAGTTAGTCAACAAGAACTGTGCATGTAGGGACATGGAACAGTCATACAAATGCTGAAAGGAAACCTAATTTTGTTGCCACCTTGGCAGAAAATTGAACACTTAAAGGCAAAAGTGTCAACCCTAAAAAAAGTGCAGTGCTTAACAATACTCCTACTTATTTTGTAAGAGCAGTAGCTGTTGCTGCTATTAAGATAAAAGATTCTATCCAAAGGCGTCAAAGCAAACATGGTACAACACACAGCCTCCTAGACTTAGAGGGTGAAGCAATCATGGTTGCTTGAAAGCACGGGGGGCAGGAAAACGCTGCCCGATGGCACACTGGAGTTAGAGACACTTTCCATAGTTAGCCTGGAATTTATCTAGTAGCTTGAAGGGTCAAGATGTAAACAAACAAACAGACAAACAAAAAACCCAAACAAAAAACCCCCAGCCAGTCAGGAACACTCTGTAGTTCAGATACAGCGACACCCCCTGGATCTCGGCTTGGGAATGCAGGAGCGATCGGCTCCTTCAGTATTGCACCAGCGGAGCAGCACACAGGCGATTTGCCACAGTGCCAGCACCCTGGGAGCCGGGGATCAGCGCTGCTTCAAAGCACTGGCTGGAGGGAGGGAGCTGGGCAGCGGGAGCACGGGGCTGGGACTGACCGGCCATGAAGCACAAGCAAGTGATCCAACTCTTTACATCTTTATGAAATAATGATAAATGTGGGCTATACAGATGTACAGAACAATCCTGTGCAAATCTAACATCTATGTCACCTGGATCACTTAACTCTCTTTCACCAGCAGGGTTTTGGTGACTAGTTTTTGGCTATTAGCATGTGTCAGTTCTGAAGGAAGAGTCAGCCTTTCAGCAAAGAGCAAAGCTCACAGCAGGACAACCCAGCAGGCAGGGCCATCCAGCCACCAGTGTGGAAATAAGTGACAAGCTCCTTCTGCATGTACATACTGTCTGATAGGAAGTGTTTGAGAAACTAGGGCTCTACCATACAAGCTCTCGATGATGGCAATTTCAAGGTATAAATGAGGGCTGCCACAAGAAAGAAGTGGATGTGTTGAGAGGTAAAAGCCATTCACAGAGGAGTTTAAGGACACTGCTAGAGATGAGTCCCTTCCTCCCAATCTCTGAGGTGCACACAGTCCAGTGCACAAGAAGGTCTTGGTTCACTTTCACTAAACAAACTTGCACCCATTTACGCAAAGTCAAAACCAACAGTTTTCAATTCAAATTGCACTCGTGAAGCCCAGACTACTTTCCATTAAGTTAATCAAAGGCAAACTATTTTATTTTCCAAGATGAGACAACCTGCAAGGCCTGGGGCTACACTAATCCCAGAGGATATTTTTATATCCACTGCTGCATTCTTAATGGCATAAAAGAAACCACCTCAGGCTTCCTTCTGAAAGATAAAACTTCTTCTCAAAAGGAAGAAGAATGTCTTGCTCATCCCACTTTTCATTTTTGTGAAGCAGAGGCCAAAAGCGCACACCATCTTTCCACAAAACTGGTTGGCTGCCTGAATAAATGCTCAGAAAGAAAGGCAGGAAAGTGTAACAGGAAGGAGAACTTGCTGAGAAAGGAAACATCTAGAAATCACCACTGTCACAGTAACTGGATACAGTTAGCTCAAAGGAAAGCATCATTTTCTTGCTCCGGTCTGGAAAGTCTATATCCAAGAGTCCTGTTACTATGAATCCTGATAAGCACAAAAATAAAGGTCTGACTGACCCAAGAGAGAACTTACTTCCACTGCAGGTGAGATTGTTCTATTATGTACCTCAGGTATAATTATAAATAGAATAGAAATCTTATTTGTTTAAAAAAAAAAAAAAAAAATCCAAGTTGAAACAAATCTTTTCATCCATCACTCTGGCTTGGTCAGTACTGGCAAGGTGAAGTGGAACACGTGGCATGAGGAAACGGCAGCACTGAAACCGAGACCTGATGGTTCAGGTAAGAAAAGTGCAAGCTAAAAAGCGAGACCACCAAGAGGGAGGTTGGGTCCAGCCTTGCTACTCCCTCCACTTCTGGTCTGCTGCTATATTTCTCCATCTTCATCTGAGCTTGCACTGCTGCTTCCACTGCTGCTGCTCCCACTCTCACTGCTCTCTTCCTGCCGGGCCTGGCTGTGGGCTGCCGCTGCTGCTGCCACTGCTGCCGCCGCCTCTCTCTCTCTCTGCTTCAGTGCAGCTGCCTTCTTCTCTTGCTCTGCGTGGCTTTTCATGTGAGCACTGCGGCTCTTCACCTTGTAGAACACCCTGAGGAAGCACACATGTATGTTAGCATCGGTCTCTCCTACAGCCTCTGTCATTAATTTCCCAAAAGAGCTTCTGCTGCTCCAGCCTCAAGTTTGTGAGCTTTGGCACAGGAACTTGGGTTGGCACTGCAAGAGAACACCTACAGCAAACATCACTTCTGACTCAGCGTGTGCCAGCACTAGGCAGAGTGCTAGCAGGAGATCCTGAGCATCCTCAAACCACTTGCTTCGTTTTTTAATACAGCCATTTCCTCTTACCTGTCTCTCATTAAGCTTTTAAATTTTCTAAATTCAGAGGGGCAGCATATCTAAAATATGCACATGCTGCTTAACACAACAAGGCCCCGGTTTTTAGGCATTTCCCCTATGCTGCAACAATACAATGAACATAGAGGTGAAAAATGGCCAGATGGCACTCCCCGACCCTTGTCCACACAGCACTTGAGCTGCTTCCTCCTAACTTTGCACTTCTACGGTCTATCCCTCCATCTTTCACTATTAACTGTTTGGATTTGACATCAAATGTCACAAGACAAGCTTGACACCATTAAAAATCCTCGCCTACTTCTCTTTTGTCAGTGGCCAGGACCAAATCCTAACTGCCTGACTTCTCACAGCACTGCCCCTTCCAATGCCACATGCTCCTTGAGGGCACAGGAACAGGGCACCTTGGCAGGACCAGCCAAGTCCCAGCCACAGCAAGAATCTGTCAACATCCCTGGTGATATAACTAGATGGAGACTGCATTTTCTTGCTGTCCCCTGGCTTGGTGCCTTTTTTCAGTAAAGGGATAACCACTGGTATTGCAAAACTCTATTGTTTTAAGATTAAGCAATTTATGTAGGGAACTTAATTTTCTTGACATTTATGAATCTTTTTGCAACAAACCTAAAAAAAATTACTAAAACCGTGTGAGGAAAGACAAATATATTTTACAGGCACAAAAGGTGGGTGCATGTTTAACGAGATGAACTGTGTGCCCACTGGCCTAATATCTGCTGCTATAATAATGGTCGTGTCTTGTATTTCTATGCCACTGTTCATAAGTAGATCTATACCATGTTCTTAATATGCGATCTACCCAATATACAGAAATTACTCATAAAGATGTAGGCATTACAGAGGGGCAATACAGCAGCTGTTTGAAAGTGCAGCTTAACACCAAATACCACACACAGTTGAAATGCAGGTGGTGTCTCATTCCATTTGAGGAAAAGCAGTCAGCAGCAGGTGATTATCCAAGTAGTAGTAGTATCTTAATATCAATATATGTAAAACTTGCTAATCTGCTAGTATTAGTGGGGTAATAAGTCTCTAAAATTATTGCCAGTGACTATGGCCTAAATAGATAGAAGAAAAGCTCATTTGAGAAGAAGCTTCCACAGTAGATGCCCTACTGCGATTCTGTGACTACTGCTGGAAGCTGAGTTGCTCTTACCTGCCACATTTTTTACATGGAAATGTGTTTTCTGTGTTCTGAGTTTTACTTGTAGCATCTGATTTTATCTTCTGTTTCCGTCTCCTCCTCTGCACTGGAGCAGTAATAGGCTTTCGAGGCTTCACTGTTGTCTCCCTTGGTTTCCTTCCAATTCTGCCTGTAACAGTTGACTCTTGACTCCTGGTATCAGCATCATTGGCCTTTGGAGAGAGGGGAACAGTTAAAGCAAACTGAAACTTAAACCCACCATCAGAAGGAAAACAATAACTGAGCTTCTGTGCTTCATTTATTCCAGACCAAGGTTTTATTTAGTGAGAAAGTCTTTAGGATATTTTCAGGACATTTCTCATCATGGTCCTATGTGTGCACCAACCACAAATAATTGTATTGGGTTTTTTCCCCCTTATTCATCCCAGTTCTCCCACAGTCTGGTTGCTAGTAATACTCTAGGCTACCTCAGCCCAGTCTCTTGCTCTGGGAGAAGTCAGAGGTGGAAACTTTTTACATCTAGACTGTCCACCTGGTATTTTCTAAACTATTTGCAGAGTGAAGGTGTCATAGAAAGCACAACATCCACATTGCACACTCACTATTACACCATCTTGTAGTGTCTGTTCATCTCTGAGAGGAACTGTGTTCTTCTTTCTGTTATCCAACTCTTCCTCTGCCTCCTCTTCTTCCTCCTCTTCCTCCTCCTCCACATGCCCTTCTTCTTCACTGTAAATATCCCTTCTGGGAGGAAGAACACGTGCAAACCTATGGGAACTCTTCACCAGAAGATAAAGGAACTGTTAATTTTGGTGTCTGTAAGTAAATATCATTACGTGACAGAGGACACAAGTTTTTGAGTCTGGACTCCTCCACACTGGCTAGATCATTTCTGCTTTTGATCTTACCAGTAAATGAGACAACACACAAAATCAGACTTCACACCACAGCACAAAAGAGGTGAGAAAAAGTTAGGAAATTACCTTGATGTCAACTTCAGCTTCATCTTTCACAGATTTCTCATTAGCAGCATCAATGTCCCCAAAGATTAAGGTCCCATTCCGACCAATTTTAACTTGTTTCTTATATGTGTAGTAGAATTCCACACACTGAGCCACTGTTTTGGTTTTTATCTGGTGTTTAAAGAGCATAAAAAGTCCAATGGATTACATGATTTTAAGAAGCCTTATAAATAATTATTAAAGGTGCAATAAATAAACTTTCTATTTTTCTTTCCTCAGTAGTGTCCATTCCACCACAACTGCTGTTAAAGCCTTCTTTTCTGTGTTATATTCTTCAATATGGCCCATCCCACAATTCATCCCCTATTGCCACTGTTCACCGAGAACTACAGGACTAACTTTCCAAAGAAAAGCTGGTCAATGTAAAGGTGACAGAATCTGGCACTTTGTAAACTTAATACAGCTCTTAGCCTCCAAAATGTTCCAATTGAGCTGTCTGCCTTGAGAGCAGCCTTTCAGTTTTATGGGGGAGCTTTATTTTCCAGCAGCACTTCAGAGAAGACCAGACCAGAATACCAATCCAAAAATGGAAAGGAAGGTTTGCAGCCCTTTCCCATTTTGGCCACATGCATTTCATACACATATGGTGGTAGACAATTATCAGTACAGACCTGAGACTGTCTACACATTCTCTATCAGTGATTTTTATGGAAGTTTTGGAATATATTCTTAGCTTCTGGGATTTCACAACTTATTATCACAGAAAACTGGAGAGATCCTAAAGGGTGCATCATTCACATGTCCTTCTTTGGTCCTTTTTATCAGTAGCAAGGATGTGTTTCTATTTAGTTTTATAAGCAAGTCATTTAAACCGTAGTGAAACATTACCAGCACTCTATAAATATGCCTTGTAGAAGTGATATCTTCAGCATGGAAAAAATGGACGTTAATGCAGTAAGTACAAGGCTTAAGTAAACAACAACAGCAAAACAAACACTATTGTTCTAGCTATCTAGTGAGATTTTATGCCATGCTGGATGATAAAATTTCCCTGAAATCTTTTGAGTGCAGGACTTAATGCTTAATACTGAGGTTTCAGAAAAATCAAGATTGAACTCCCTGTATTAAATGCTCAACAAACATGTAAAAATGTATCATTGTTTTCATTTAAAAGAAAAAGTAACTTACAAGCTTTTGGACCAAGAAAAAGTCTTTCTTGTAGATTGCAATGCCTTTGTTGAAAAGTTTTTTTTCAGCAACTTTCCACTTGTCTGATCCTGTAGAAAAAAAAAAAAGTTGTAACTGAAGCCTTTGCAATTTCAAATGTTTATCCTTCTACGCACTTTTTCTTCACCTTCATCTTAAATAAGACCAATATACACATGGTCTCTCACCACACCTAATCCAGCATAACTGCAGCCTGCTGTTAACCCCTCCCCTACCGCTCCACTTCGGCCCTCCTCTCATCACTGTGTGTTACATCTAGTACTCATCACCACAGGTTAACTCAGTTCAGCTTGCAAAAACCAGTCAATTGGATGAATTAAGATGTTTTCCAACAAAACAGCAAGGTGAATAAACACAATTTGTAGTGGCCCAGTCACTAGATTTTATACAGGGAAATGGTGTGGCAGGAGAACAGGATTGCTCTTTCACCAGCAATCCACTGTACTTGACAATTTATTACATCTCAAATATTCCTACTATCCTAGCACCCTTGCCTCTAATAACAAACACATTTTGGAATCTCCTCCTGCCTCACAGATATTACTCAAGTCCTATTTCCCAATCATTATAGTAGGAGCGTGTAATAATGAAGAAATATAATTTCTATGCTTTGTGGTGACAGCTATTAGATGTATCTCTACCAGCTTACATCAGGTCTTTCAGGTGGGTACAGTCTCTCTAGATCACTGAAGTCAATGTCATACAGCTGACTATTTTCTAATTAGGTACAAGACTACAAAGGCAGCTCACGGCATTTAAATTTTGCAGAAACATTGACTGGCATCAATAGTTGGCTGAGCTTTCTTCAGCAAGCTTGAAAATTCTTCCCATAAAACCTCCTCTTAACTTCGTCCTGGAAATTCATGCCAAAGGGGCTGTGGTTCTGAGGTTACCACAGCTTTTCTTGTATGCACTAGCTGTCTTTCTGCATTCTCTGTGGATTAGTGTAAGGGATCACATTCCCTTTTCCCCTTAAAGGAAATAAGAACACACACACATGCACACATTCTGAGGGATGCAGTCTTTCTTACGTTCTAAGTGTCATAATTTGCACAGGAAAAACTCCTGGCAAGCCATCCTTTGATTTACCAGAGAGAAAAGCAGTCTTTTAATCTTATTGCAACATTACAGAGTTCCCCAAAAGAGCGGAAAAGGATAGAAAAATTCCTTTATTATAGACAGGCACTACAGTTATTCTGGTTAACAAACCTGTGTAGTGATAATCTGCCAAAGGGTGGGTAGGCGATCGTACTGGCCTCTTCAATAGCAGTTTGGTCAAAGCTCCCTAAGATAAACACAAATAAAATAGCTAATTTAATGTTTGGGATACTTAAAACAAAATTCAGGCAATTGTTAATCCTCTCCTTTCTGGTAAGCTAACTGAAAAGAATCATAGTACAGTTTAACATTTGGGACAACTTTAAAATTACATTCTTGACCACCTGCTGAGTCTTGGGTACCACAGGCAAGTGGTAAGCTCTCGGCCCCTCTCCACATCTCTGCAAACTGACACTTTCCAACACAACCATCACAGTACTGGGAGAGAGTCAATTCCACAGACAGAGACCATGAAGCAGTTTCCTCTCATTTACTGAAGGCCTAAGTTATATACCCACATCCAAAAACACTGCCCTAAATGAGATCTGTCTTAAACATCCAAGTCATTGTCATCTTATCTCACTTAAATAAGCAATATTTCAAAATAAAACACAGCAGTCATGTGACTGAGAGATTACACACACACAAAAAAAAACCCTCTCAGGCTGCTTTTTACTTTGCATTTAAACTGGAAGTGCTTTCAAAGTTAGCAGGAAGGAGAGAATGGAGTCATGCTTCCATTAGCAATTTAAACCACCTTAACAGTGAGCTCTTGCTGCCAGGGGCAGCCCTGCTCCTCCATAATACCACCAACAGCATTCACAATGGTGGGCTGGTTCTGGGAACTTACCTAGCAGAAACCTAACACATAACATAAAAATTAATTTTTATTTGTTCTCTTCTTTAACGCAGGTCAATACCTTCTCACAAGTCTCAGTGCTGGTGCACTACAGAGGACAGGAAACAAGCGGCCAGGCAAAAGCTTGGGATAGTCCTGACCACAGGGCTGATTCATGCCAGGTTAAATCAATCAGAGAACTATAAAAGGATGAGAACCCTGTGCCATATGCTCTGCTCTTTGATATTACCTACCGGGGTGTCAAAGGGCATTTATGAAAGTGTAGCACGTCTTACAATACTGATACAAAATTAGCAGCACAGCCATTCTATAGACATGCACAGAGAATTTAAACGGATCTGCCAAAAGTAAGAGGAACAAGACACTGCACTTTGTCTCAGCTTCAGTCCCAGCCTCTTATTTTTCCTTCCAACATGGTCATCTTCCCTGGAAGACATTTAAGATTAATTTAGCAGTCTCAGCTCACTTGCTCTGGCAGACTGTCAGTCTGTTACAAAGCCAAACATGTCAAAGTTGGAAATATGCAAGATAGTGAGTGAACATGGTGCTGTACATCAGGCATAACCCACTTCAGGGACATCCAAGGGACACTAAACAGTGGGAGCCAGATGCATAGGAAAGAATTTGCAAGGCTCTCCTCTCCAAGTGACAGGTTATCTGGCCTTCATTAACATCTTTGACCATATCAAGGTGGAAAGCTGGGAAGACTCACCAGAATGCTTCCCTTTGCTTCATGTAAGAAATGTAGTGCCAGCTCCTGGTTGGTTCCAGCCCCAGGAAAAATGCTTGAACAGGCAGCAGCTAGCAGGTTTTCCACTGTTTCCAGAGAGGTACCAAAAAAATTTCAGATAAGAAGATTAAAATGGAGTTTCCTACAGGATTGATATAATTCATTAGCTCTTTTGAAGCAGGGGTTGACATAACAGAAAGTAAAACTCTCAGAGAAGTTGAATGTCCTTGCAAATTTAACTGTGTCAAATTTGGCCACAAGAACTCATTAGACCGCAAGGTCGCACATTCCTCTGCATACAGCACTATTTACGCATGGAGTTTCTTGCAAACCTCCTCCTTCTTATAATGTCTTCTTGTCTCCTTTCACCTCAGAGGTTTCCTGAATCCCCCCTTACATTGTGATTTCCATTTCACAATACCCTTTTTTCTCTCTCATCAGAAAGATTTCTTCCAAGCCTGCCCACTTCCTCTTCACTTCAGCATTTATACATGCCACAACCCACGTGCACCAAGAGCAGACAGCTCCCCAAATCTGCTACTAGCTGCCACAACTCCTGCTTCCTCATCCTGACTTCCGTCTACAATTTGATTTTTTCAAAATACTATTATGTCTAGAACATTTGTTGAAAATACAGAAGTTAAGTGCATGTGGTGTTCAAACATTAACAAAGATGAGGAAGCTTCACTGAGCAAAAGGCTGCTCTTTGCCTGACCAGTTACAAATGGTCCCAGTTTATCTCAATTAAAAAAACCAATCTTATCAACCTCCCACCCACCACACACAACCTGATAAACAAGTTTTTACTCCTAAAACTGTTTTCAAGACCACTCAGACACGTCACTCAACTGGCAGCTTTGAGAGATTTAAAGTTATGCCTACAGCAAATATGTGGTTACCCCTACAAGTGTGACAATTCAGTCCTATTTATCAGCCATGTTCTTACCATTCTCTTGGGTGACTTTGTTGGTTTCCAGGTCACCCCACGGCTGCCACACCAGCTCTGCTTTATGTTCATCTACTGCTGCCAGAGATCTGTCTTGGAGTGATGGGATTTCTGCTTGAAAGCGAGTTCCTACATTTATTCGCCTGCAGAAAAGGTAACATGTAATCATCAGGCCCCCTTTACAATATCCAGAAAGTCTCCACCTCTGCTAAAAGCACTAATTACTAAGAAACTGAAAGGCAGCAGGCTCTTGCTTATAACACGAACAGCTTTCAGGTGTTGTAAGTTACATTAATAAGCATGACTCAAAAGGTGAGAGGTTTTACATCCATTACCAGTTTCCATTATCTTATCAACAATGGTTGAAATGTATTTAAATTACAATCCCCTAATAACTGCTCAAAGAACAGTTATTACCTTTCAATAATCATCACTTTTTGAGAGGCTGTCACATGGACTTCTCTTATGGCAAGCCTCCTCCTCACGCATAAGATGGGTAAAGACTGTTTTAGTATTAATGTTTTGCCAGCCATAACTACAGAATCATAGCATTAGGTTGAAAAAGACTTTTGGAGACTATTTGGTCCAACTCCTCATTCAAAGCAGGATCAATCTCAAAGTTTGTACTACTTCACAAATAGAAGAATTAAGCTTCATTATCACATTTCCTATTCCAAATCTTTACAATGAAATGATCTTTTGAGGAGCATTAGGAGAAGGTCTGGCAAAGCACATGCAGTTAAGAACACAATATCGGGTAATCACAACTTATAGTGAACTTCTGACAAGAGTCAAATTAAAGTCAAAATAAACTTTTTTTTTTTTCCTTAAAAAAGCAGCTTCCTGCCATAATTCATTTATAGAAGATATGTCTGCATAACTGACCACAACAGTGCTGCACAAACTAGCTTCACAGCAGCAAACTGATTAATTTGACAACACAGAAGGACACCAGTTTGTTAATTTATCTTGGTTAAAAGTTAAATCTATCTACTTGCCTAAGCACCTGTTCAGTTAGACTTAAGATGATAGCAAGACAACTCTTTGCATATAATTCCCTTTTGGCAACAGGAAATGAACTTGCATTACTAAGTTACTATGGTTTGAAATTTCCAGCAACAAATTTGAAGATTTTCACAAATGACTAAAATGGCAGCTAACTTTATGTCATGAAGTTTGTCAATTTAAACCACTTGACACAACAGCCAAAGACAATTGCAGGATAAAGATGTCAAAGATCAAGACCTGAGGGGAAACAAGCAAACAAACAAATCTGTTCAAGAATAAATTCCCCTGGACTGGTATGAAATTAACCAACAACAAAAAGACTAATTAAGCCATTTCAAAACAGATTTTTAAAACACCAAATGTCCTTATTTCTACGAATGGGCTCAGCCTGGAAGGGCTTTGCAAAGGCGACAAGAATAATCTGGGTTCGTTCACATTTGCAACATTTGCTCAGGACAACGTGCTGCCAAAAGTGCAGAAAACAGCTTCAAACAGGAAGGCGGAATGGAAAAGGGGCAAGGGGGGGGAAAAAAAAAAAGTGGCAGCAAATGCACCAGTTAATTTTTAAAATACAAACGATTTTAGAAGTAGTAAAAGAAGCCTGGTATTTATTTGGACAGAGTTTGAGTTAAATATCTCAAATATTAGGGGTCACACTGCAGAGATTCCCAATTGCAGAGAGTCAGCAATGCAGAGCCATGTGGGTGTTTCCATGCCATGCATCTCCATGTTTAGATTTCGCAGGAGCTCATTAGCCTAGGTTTAATAATGAATTGGAACTACCTTGCTGTAGTTCAACAGCACTGAACTTGAGCTGATAACACTCCCAGAGGGTTTGCAATGGCTATGAAGAGATATTTGCTACTCTGCTCAGGTTTAGCAGGACTGGCACCAAGCCTAAGCTTCCTATTTCTAAACTTTGTTCCTTAGCGCTGCTGGGTCCACATTTCTCTGAGCTTTCCCAGCACACAGCTAGCTAAAAAGACTAATGAGGCTTGTTAGCTCAAGCCACACAAGCTGTATGCAACTGGATGTAGTGCTTTAAGACTGAGCTAGCCCAGGAGGGAGCAAAGGTGTGTTCACAGTGGTGCTGCAGCTAATACACACCACATAAATAACTTGCAATCTGACCAGTCCATGTGAAAGCTAACTCTGTTTTTCCATACTATGTTCTGGCCTTCCTTTAAAGGAGCATTATTTCCCCAATCTAAACCAAACATACAGCATATAAAGAAGTGTCTGTATACCACAAAACAGGAAAGATTCACCTTTAGCTAACCAATAGTATTTCAGCCAAGAGACAGATGAGCAGTAATAGAAAGCCATTAACATTACCAGAATTACAAGGTACATTTTCCCAAACAAGGATTATTTATCATATGGAGTAATTTTTAATAAAGACAATTTATACTTTGAGTCACTAATAGGAACACCATTAATGTTTCCAAGAAATACATCAACTGTACATGGAGCAGCACCTTGAAGGTTTAGGAAGAAGAAAAGCAGCACATTTACTACCAGGCTAAGAATCTACTGGGTACTTACGGTTCAATGCTGACTGGGGTGGCTTCCCCCACTACCATAAGAACAGGAGGAGTAACTTCTGAACTATCTGCAAGGAAAAGAAAGAACTGCTTAGAGAGCTCATTTTTGCATTTGAGATACATTCTTCACACAGCTTGTAAATCTACCACAGCTATCCATCTCTCAAAAAAGGTACCCATACGCTAAAGGAGTTTAAGATGACCAATGACCTTCCAATCACCATCTACATCTTTAATAATTATTTACTTTTCCCTCAGTTGAAGATAATGACAATCTATTATAGAGGAGGAACTGACTTTTCCATTCCCAAGAACGTCAGTAGGGGGTGTTGCAGATTACTTGTGAATGCATCTTAACATGCACGCCCAGATGGAAACAACACTGCATTTCCTACCCAGATCATCATGAAGAAGCCCCAGTTCCACATAAACACACTCCTAAAGTAATGATCTTCCTTCTATTACTCCACAGTTCCTAATCCTAAATTAGGCAAGAAAGGAAGGAAAAAGTGGAACTTACTTGATCTAAGCAGAGTTCTATGAGCACTCTTAGGAGTCATTGGAGGTGGAACCGAATGACCACTTGAAGAGAGGATAGCATTAAAATATAGCCCAGATCCTTCTCTCACTGGACTAAGAATTGGTGGAGGAGTGTAAGGAGGTAGCTCAAAGTTCCTATCTGAAGGATGATCTGCCAGACGGACAGGTGACCGTAAATGGCTCTGATATGGAGTAATGTTAGAATAAACAGGTGGTGCAATAAAGGTGCCAGCTTTTGGTGGTATGAAGAGTGGCTCGGGTCTTGGCCGCTGCTTTGGTTTCCGGGCAAAGCCCTCTGCTTCATCCTTTGGAACAGTATCTTCGTGCTATTAGAAAAAAAATACATACTTAATTTCATTTTAAAACCTCAGGTCATTTCAAAAACTTCAGTGAGATGGCAGCTCAAAATCTGGTTAGGGCAGTTGGAGGGTGTCTCAACGATTAACACAAAGGGTTTTTAAAGAGGAAGGAAGAAGATGGGGAATGCAATGGACACAGGAACTAGTAACGCTAGCTCTGAGTGCTTATGATGTCATATTTTACAAGAACTACACATATGTCTGGTCCAACCTTTGGTTAGAAATGTACCTCATGGTAGCTTTAAAAGAGGACATAAAAGTATAACAGAACCCTAGTACAGATACAGGGTAACACCAAATAACATTAACAGAAGACAGTATAGCTATATTGTCTTAGATGATCAAGCATTTAAATGCAGAGAAACCTCCTTAGATGCCTGCCATTTCTCTGGTATCTGATTGTACTTCTGAACAAAAGAGACAAAAAAACCCAAAATAAAAACAAAAACAACAAAACCCCCCACAAAAACATCACAACACAACAAAAACAAAGAACCCACTCAACAGCACCACACTGAGGTGGAACACTCAAATACTGACCTTCAGAATCTCAGTAAGAGATTTCAATGCCATAGGAATAAATCTTCACTTTGGATTTTATTCATATACATTTGTGCACTATTCACAGTTTATTATTATCTATCTATCTATCTATATATATATATGGAGAAAACACTCTTTACTCAGACAATTTATTCTAGTGTTACTGACCATCCGGCTTTATTCACTGTTTATTAGTGGGACATTGCTTAGCTGCACTAGCATTAGCTGTAGGTGATGAAAAGCCTGTGATGTCCAAACATATGGCAATATTATGATGAAAAAACCCCACAGTCCCCAGACTACATCCATTCAAAGTTCAAGCCTTGAGATCAAACTACTTTAAAATAAAAGCTTATGGATAAAAACTATGTAATTCAATCTAACAGATTTGGCTCATCTTTGGTTTCTTCGTCTATCCATACCTGATTTGAGGTTTCCATGTTAGTATTACGATTAGATCGCCTCCGAGTGACTATCACTGAAGGCTTGCGTTCACAAGGAGCTCGATCATTTGTTTGGCCTCTCTGAGGCTTTCCATCCTCAGACTTTTCCTTTCCAAGGCTCTGCAAGTCAATTTTTCTCACTGGCACAGACACAGGAATGATAAGTGGCACAAGGCTGTTATCCTCCCGGGGTCTTTTGGGAGTTGTTGAAGAACCGGCAAATTCCACAACACTTTTTGCAGCTGTAGGTTCTGGAGCTGCTATCAGCACACTCTTCTTCTCTTCTGAAGTATCCAGTTCCTGAAAAGAAAAATAGATTCCTTAAAAGTTCTGTAGTACTTACAAAATAAATCAGATGGTATCTCACTTTCAGTATATATCAAGTTTCTCAATGCAATTTGCAAGTTGAAATGGATTAGAAAAGTGGTATTGGAGGAAAAAGAATAGTTCACAAAAGTGTTACCAAAATTTCTTAGAATGACTTGAGGATTGCCTGAAGTCTCAAATGCTAGGATATTTGTATACATCATTCTTAACTATCATTTCACTACCTATGGTTAGACATTTTATTTTCCAGGTGAATTTGTGCTCTACCATATAACTTCCAACAAAGGTTCTTCAGTTTTAATAATGATTATAAGCTGCAGGTTATTAATTTCAAATATTGGACTTGAGTTCCAGGGAGGACTGAACCATGATAATCTTAATTAAATCTCTCATACAAAAAACAGAGCTAGCTTTTTGCTGCATATTTTCTGATTTACATGACAAAAGCAACTTTCCTTATAACTAGAGCCTTTGAGGTTTGCTGTCTAACCAGTCTTGAGCCTGAAGGACTTCTGCTCAGCAGAATCAACAAGGCATAACTGCAAGTTGGCACTTTTTGCATTGGTATTACTTACAGCTTCCACGTCTCTGCTTTCTTTTCTTCATGAAAACCCTAGAAAATTGAGCTCCAAGATGGGAATGGAAGATGAGTTACTGAATAAACACATGGATACTGTAACACCAAATGGCTTCAGGTACTGTTAGATCATTGATTTCTAGTCCTGCAAATCCACACGTTCATGCGACTCTCAATTCAAAAGCAGCTGCCAGCTCATTTAGAAGCCAGACGTTAAAAGTACAACTTTCAAAACCACCTCTCCTCAGGGATGTAAAAGGTCATATTAAGCTCTGATGAAGTGCAATCTAGAAGCGGTACAAGATGCTCCTTTTGGTGTTTCAGAACTTCTCTCTGACTTACAGCTCTGTTTGGAAAGCTTTTAGATAGGATTAGGTATGCAGACTCATCCTCCACCAGAGCCACCATCTACTGAGGAATCTACCTGAACAATTGTGTTTTATAGGTGGAAACTAACACATATTATCTCTCACGTATGATACGAGGCCTCCAACCTGGACTTCTAAAATTTTGCAGAGGTTTACCGAAGTCCTCAAAAAGAATCTATTGTGTGCCATTAAGAATACCCATTGCTGATTAAAAAGTCAGCATAAGCAGGTTCTGTCATAAGAACTCTGACATCCCCCAGTCGTTCCACTGTGGTCATAGATTAAGAAAGCCAGCTTCACTGATGAGCAAGAGAACATGCTCCAGCTGGCCATGAAGAATCAACCCATGATAGCTAAAAGGGCACTAGACTGAAGTCCCACTTTGATATTGTATTTATATTGAAGGAAGCTCTATTGTCACAAGATGCATTAGTCAAGACCCCAGAGTCAGTGCTCTGGTCTCTCTGCCAATTACAATCCTGGTAATTTTTGTTGCTTTCAAGAGCAAACAGGTCCACTCTGATACACCAAACCTTCAAAAAAAGTGCCAAGCTTAAGCAAATAAAATAATTTCAAGAAGATTTAATACTGCCTCTTTCCAAGACCTTTTATTAGAGTAAGGCTAAATGTCCACAGAAAGGTTTATCTCATAAGTGACACTGCAGTTCAGAAGTCTGACTGCTTCTTCAGAGAGAAAGGAGATATCTGCCCCCACCACACAATGATGAAAAACACAATTGAAAAGTCAAAATTGGCATCAGCTGCCCCAAATTGCATTGTAGGGGGAACTAACGAGCTCTAAGGATGTTCCTTTACTACAGGCTGGTGATATGGACTTGTACTTTCCCATGAGACTACTAATTTTGGATTTAGAGGGCTTCCATCATGCTGACAGATATGTCACTAGGAACCACTACCTCTAGCTAGTAAGAGGTTCTTGTAATTTTTTGCAGCCTCCCTCCACTGCTTCAGGAAAGAGAGACTAACAAGGATGCCTTTTGAAACATGAACAGGTCATCTGGAAACAGATACCTACTTCCACTAGTCCTGCCCATACCTGAAGAAGCAGCTCATATATGGCTTCATGCTGCTATAAATGGGCCTCCACTCATCAGGGCAATTTATGCTGTTATCACTGTATTACTGAAGCCTACCTAAACATCTGGGATAGCTCTGGGGTCTTCTTTCGGCAATGAGATCCACCATAGTTTTGCACCACTGTTCAGAGCAGTGCATTCATATGACATGATTTAGACCACTGCCAGTAAGAGTCTTGGTTTTAATCAGATTACTTTTTTTCCTCCTGATGTATGTGTTACTACTGTAGCACATTTTCTGGGTACCTGGGAGAATAATGGCAATCAAACAAGTAACGTCAATAAGAATATGTGAACAAGCACCAATTCTGACCAATCTACAAACCTCAGATACTTCCTGTGTGCTATACAGATCTCTGTAGGTCAAGAGACATGAACTAGTTTCCTGACTACAAGGAGGAAATTATGGCAGATAGTCATACAAAAGATGTCACATTTCTTTGGCTGTATGATTGGTTAACCACGGTCCTTTTATTTTCAAGATTGGGAGGTAATCAGCAAAGGGCTCTCTTCCTTGATGATGGGAGAGATGACCCCTTTGAGAGAAAAGAGGAAGGAGGAGACCTGAACAGTAGTAGAGATAGAGAGAAGGCACCACTGGGAACTTAACATAAATAGTTGAGACATCCTTAAAGATATTCTGGTCCACACCGAACTTTTCTGGTCATGACAGATCACAAATACCTACGGTTTACTAAGAAGGGACATGACTGATTTTGAAATTAAGCTATTTGTTTCAGATCTCTAAGTAGTTTCTCAACTGTTTGATTATGTTCAGAGGTAAGCAGAAAGGAGCCACTGAACAAGGGACAGGACCTTCATTTGTAGAAGTGCTCTACAGATTTTCAGCTAGCTCAGTATCTCTATTGCAGAACTTGGGGCAGGAGGGCTGCTGGATAACTCCAGCAAGCACAACTTGTTGCACTTCCATTTAGACCCTTGCATAAATATTGAGGGATGAACTAGTGATCTAGAGTCCACCAGGACACCCACAGAAACCCGTCAGTCATTTTGGCATTGATCCTGTCTATCCCTCAAGTGGTTTCTAAAAAATTTAGAATTCACAGACAAAACCCAATTGCAATAACTGCAAGAACTGTTCTGAGGCCACTGCTATGATCACACCAGAAACCACGCCAGCCTTTTAAAACACCTGCCCCTACAGCGTTTTCTGCCATCATTCTGCATCATCTTGCTAACAGCAAATGCAGCTTCTCTCTGCAGTCAAACTGAAGCTTAACCATCAAGGAGGCAAGTCCACAACTGTAATTCCACAAATAAAACTTTTTTTTTTTTTTTTTTTTTCAAATGTGGCAGCTGGTGCTCTGCCCAGTGCCAGGGGAAAGAGGCCAAGTAACTAAAATCTCTTTCTCCTATAAAGGAATATTTAAATCCACACACCCTTAAGATGACCGTTTCAGATCCAAGAAAAGTTTTCTGCACTATCAAAGAAAACCAATTACACCACATTTTTGCATATGAGTTATGTGTGAAATGAAACCATAAAACTAAGAGTTGAGAATTTTCTGCAGCCTGTAAACAGCAATAAGCTTGCACCACCTGAAAAAGGCAGGCACAGCTTGATGAGCAGCTCTGGTGCAAAGCATCAGTTGTGACACTACATGTGGATAGATACTGCTGCTCAAAATACTGTTTTTACATAAGGTACACACACCTAGGTTGAAATGTTCAAACAACTGGTTCAAATTATGAATATATCTTCTTTCATCAATAATTTAACCCTATTGCCACCTTACATGCTCTTCACATAACCTATGCTAGAGAAGGCTTCTAGGCTGTTTGTAACAGAAAGACATGGGTAAGAGAAGCAGACCGTTCTCCTCCAGTAAACATGTTCTCTTTTTCTCCCTCACATGATATCCAACTGCCTTAAAGATGTAAAATCCACCGGACCTCGGGTAAGAATTTTAACATCTTTCAAAACCTCACCCTGAAAGCTTGAAGTGATCTACACATAAAGAGTTCTGCTAGTGCCATAATGGAAGCAAAGAAGCTTCTAAGCTTGTATAACTGCAAAGAACAAAAAAGCATCTGTCAAAAAAACATTTCTCTCTGCCTCTCAGGGCCTTTTCCTAGATGCTCTATTAGCTTTTTCTTGCTAGTGTTGGTGATCAGACCGCAACCTGAATTGTAGGCTGTCCTGCAGTATAACCATACAATGGCTGGGAGAGTATGAGCAAATAGCTCACTCTGCTAACTACTACTAGTTTTCTATCAAATCTGCTTGCTCAACTGGTGTTAGAACAAAAAGGACTGAAGACAGGACCAACAGCCACTGGTTGTTGTCTGCTGTGCAAGAGATGGAGTAGGCTATGGATATTTGCCTCACTGTTTATTCATTCAGTTCTTTCACTCAAACAGCACATCCCTCTAAGGAAAGGACTGGAAAAAAGTGGCCACAGACAGACTAAAAAAAAAAAAAAAAGATGATGATGAGAACAAGAATAAGATTCCTTTCTCTTTGTTGTCTGACTAGGCAGCAACTCAAGAGGCAAAACTGTAGGTAAAAGTAGCTCATGTTCTAACACCCATATATCATCAGCCTCTGGCAACAAAGCCTTCAAAGAAAACTGCATCTTTACTTCTCATGAGAGGTACTCAATGAAAGATTAGTCAAATCACAACTGAAAGAAAATTTCCAAAAAACCCCCTCAAAAAATCCCCACCAAACTCCAAAAATCCCACTACTTGCCCCCCTAGGCTAGTTAATTTTGAACCCTGTCATCTTGGCATATGGAATACATACTGTACAGTTTAGACTGATGGGATACCAAAAGGATAAGAGTAGTGAACCACCTAATCAGCCCACACTAAATTTCTTCCCCATCAAGCCCTACAGAAGGTCTACAGGCAGACTTTGTCCTCAGGTTACCAATCTCTAAACATTCGCTGCAGGTCATTCTCAGAAACAGGATACCACATCAGACAGACCTTTGTTATGCCTAGTATAAGTTCTTCATGTAAGTGAGGCTTCCTCAGGCTTTTAATATTTGGGAAATACTGAACATATAAATTGCATTATGTAATTTTTAGATACCAAAATTCAGATACTTCAACTGCTAAAACTGAAAAAAGTGGCAGGTAAGCAGCAATCTTAACATAAAAGGAAGAGAATGTTAAATTGGTAAAAAGACACCAAGTGAACTGCTTATACTTGTCTCTAAATTCCTGATGAGCTTGAGGCCTAAGCTGAAAACATCCTTATTTTGAAGCCCTGGCTAAAACCACATTCAGTATTAATGAAATAAAACTGCCCCTCAGTGGCTTCACTGCACTAGATCTCTACTCTTCCACATCTATGAATTACAGTAGCTGAACTTACATGCTACCACTCCAGAGCTGCCTTTGCTGTACTACAACACTCCTTGCATCAAGATACCATCCTATCCTGCATATGTACATAAATTCCTTTCATTTCAGCCCTATTTTGTAGTCTAAAACGTGCTATATTGGTTAACATGTATACCTTACCTTTACATTCTGAAGAGAAGCCAGCTCAACAGCTTTTTGGGCCAAAGTTAACAAATTGGCTTCTTGAGAAACACGCCGTCTCCGTCGTGTACTCTGGATTACACCACCTCTGACACCCTGAAAATCATTAGTTCTCTGAGCGTTTTCTTCAGCTGCTGCTGCCTGTTTTTCCCCATCTCTACCATTCTGGGCTGTAGCTTGCCCGTCTGTTTCCATCTGGCACAGCTCGTTATTGACCAGGACATCCTTCTGCCCCAGATCTATTCTCTTGGGGTGTGAATAGCTACCTTTGTTGTGGGCTAGTGATTCAGGCGGCTGCTGTAATGGGACCTCTTGCTGATGCGTTTGCCAGTGATGCAGAAATAAATTGCTAGGTTGTTCTTCTGTCTGCTTGGAAGCCAACGCTTCTCCTGCAGATGTCAGCAGGACACCTTCTTTGGAGAGTCTCCGTGACCTTCTTGGAAAGGGAATCTGGGTCTGAGGTAGCACAGTCTGTTGGTTCTGCTCTGTTAGAGCCTTGAATAGTTCCTGGTTCCTCTCTGTTTGCTGAAACTGGTGTGCCATCATGTGATGCTGAGGTGCTGCAGCTGCCACATGAGGCTGTGTTATGGAAGTAGTTTGCTGCAGACTGAAGGCTTGTGTGGCAGCCTGTTGCTGCTGCTGCTGTTGAGGATAGAAATTTTCAAAAAGTTGTAGCTGGGGAAGAGCTTGCTGTTTTTGTTGAGCAGTAAATGCTGGACTGGAAGAAGCTGGGGCTTCTTGAAAGACATGTAACAATTCAGGAAGACCCTGCTTTTGGCCTTGGTGACCAAATGCAAGTTGGAAAGGCTGTAATGGCAGACTTTGACTCTGCTGCTGCTGTTTCTGCATCTGATGAAAAGAATTCATTTGAGCTTGCTGTCTAACCAGGGCTTGCTGTTCCAGCTGAGCCTTCTGGGACATCATCTGCTGGACAGCATCTCCATACAAGTCCAACTGTGACACAAACACTCCTTTCTCTTGATTTCTTTTAAGGGCTTCTGGGTGGCTAAAGAAGCCCGGGGCACCAGCATTGGAGTGAGGTCCTTTTGGGTTACCCCCAAAAACCATACTGTGGTTCCACATTGAAGGTGGAGACTGCCAGTGGCTGTCACCCCTCTCTGGCAATCGGTTTCCCATTAGTGAATTCTGCCATTTGACACTTGTTACTGCCTGGGACATCATCATTGATTCTCCCCTATCTTGATTGTAAACAGAGTTCATCAAAGCAACATTGTTGGGGGCACTTGTTAATCCTCCTGCGTGAGAAATCTCCATAGTTTGGGAGACTGGTATATTCCCTCCATGACCATAGTACTGTCCTTCCTTAAGTTGCTGCTGTGGTTCTTTTGATGACACAGCTATTTCCTGCTCATTAAAATAAGCAATTCGCTTCCCAGTCCTTTTGCTTGAAGACTTTTGCTGAGCTTGAAGATTCATGGTTCAGTCTATTCTCCTAGCTGCACACGCCGTATTTACAATCCACCCATCCCTGAGGTTCGGGGAGGAAAGGCACAGAAGACTCTCTTTTCCATTCAGTTTTAGTAATAAAGGGCAGGAAAGAAGTCCAGATGAAAGTGCATCCACTTCCTTTTTCTCCGTGTGCTTCTCCCACTTCTTTTCACTCTTATCCTTTGTGGTTCAGAGGTCAGTAGGGTCCACTTAGTTACAGTTCCTGAAACAGAGAAGCCATTGTAATGAATCATCAACAGATAACTGGAATATAAACCCTCACGCGATAAGCCACTATGTGTGTGTCTGTCCCATTTCCCACAGAAATGAAGATCAGGATAATAAGTGTATGAAACAATAGATCTAACCTGCTAGAAGAATGTAAAACAAAACAACTTGGTTTCACAAAACAGATATCACACTGTGTTTGCATGATGCAACTGCCAGTTGCACAGACTTCTGACTAATCACTCAAGCTCATCCTGAAGGTTTTTCTCTTAAATTCCCTCTCATCTGGCCAATTACTTTGTGTCTTCCTGTAGCCAGAATAATCTGTTTTTAATCTCAACTCAAAAAACATAAAACAAACAAACAAAAAAACCTCTCATGACTCTCCAAAAGAAAAATAACTTGTCAGGCCACATTTCCCAAAGACTTTTAAAACACACACATGTACGCAAAGGCTGCGGCCAAACACGCAGCAAGATGCTCAATTCAGTGTTTTGAAGGAAAGGATCGGGAGGCAGCCAATTATTCACGCCCCTCCCCCAATCATTACAGTTGCCTTCCAATTAAGAACTGCCCACCAAACATCCAAGTGCTGAAGATAGGGCCTGCTCAACCTGTTGCCCTCTCAGATGCTTTCTTCAACAGCTGAAAGCAACTGCTCATGCTCAGGTCACACTCATGGAAGCAGTTCAGGCAGATTGTTACAGCTGCTCCTGGACATCAGCAAATATGTTTGTAGCTTTACACTAACAGATAATAGGATAAAGCCCTTCCAAAACACAGTCTAGGACAATTCTATCCTTCTTTTCTACAGAAAAAAGCTGTCCACAAACTTGGGCTTTAAAAACCTAGTTTTTAGGGTTAAGGTCTAATGTGTTAACATATACACTAGTATTTCCATTAGGACACCTAAAACCTTTCAAGAAATTTAGTTTTAAATTTAATTAAATTCTTGAACTACTACTAACACTCAAGTTATTAAGTGTTAGTCTCCATTACTATCTCAATATGCACTCTGTTCCACTTCAAATCACACTGCCAATATATTTCAGAAAGGTTTTAATAGGTTAAAAACATATTCTTATTGCATCCTGCTATAAAACCAAATTTCTCTTGAGTGGAGCAGGTAAGACTAACACACACATCCCCTCCAATGAAAACTGCAATCCATTTATCTCTCTCTATAAAATGAAAAATAATAAAACAAAAGTATACAGCACACTGAAGTCCTGTAACCTAAGCTTTCTCTAAACAGATATGCCAAAGTGCAGATTTTAATACTGGGGTGGAGCTGGGAGCATAATGAGGAGAAAAAGACAAAGAGTTTAAATTAACTTAGGCAATTTCTACCTCAGAGGCCAAGCCTGGCTTCAGTGCTACTGGAACCATGGGCCTGTGTTTCAGAGGGAAGTGACTCACTTCCTCAGGCTGTTACATAGCTGTTCCCCCCACGCTCCCTCTCCCTTCGCCCTGGCTACAAACCATGGACCTCTGCCACCTGGTATCGCTGAGCCAGGGCGTTCCTACCTCCTCTAAGCACAAGTCTCAGCTCATTTTCCAGTCCTCTCTCAACAGGACGAAAATAACTCTGGGAGAAATTATGGACACGTGAGATGGAAAATTCTCTCTAAACTGCAACTAGTACACAAACAAGGATTTCATTAAGTAAGTTTTTCCTACTTCAAAACTTCATTAGGAGAGGAAAAAACATCCTACAGCAGGAAACTGGACCCCTGGTAGCAAAAATGTGGAGGTGGAAAGGTTGCTATATGCCTCTGAGCAGCATCAGCGTTATTCTGCTTGCTTTTTGCAGCACTGCTACAAATCTAACAGCTAAACCACAATACCTGAGGTAATACTACTAACAGAGGTTTCTGACGCTATCTAGCTTTCTGAAATCATCACAAGCTATTTTTCTCTCCAAACTAGACAACCTTGTAACATTTTTCCTTCCACTGATGCTTCTGTGTGCTTTTGTATCCATCAGTCACATAATTCTGATAAAAAGAATGCAAGTTTATCAGAAGACATTACCACTAGATTAAATTTAAACCTGCAACTACTACATGCACAAGTATCCAGAAGACCTTTAGAAAGAGGGTTCTCATGTTAGTGAGAAAGTGTTGCATTAGCACAGCTCTCCAAACCTCCACTGGTCTGGACTTTGGCTCTATTTTTTCCATTACCAGATAAGAAGTCACCAGCATTGCAAAGCCTAACTCAGACCAGTTTGGAACTGCACTTATCTAGAAAAGAGATGCAACAAGAGTATTAAGATGCAAAGTTTACAAAAAAACCTAAGTTCAGAGATGACCTAAGGGAGGAACAGGAATATGTACTGCATGTTCCATAAAGGAAGTCCTAAAAAATACTATATGCCCCTTTGGTAAGTTATCTTTTCACTTGAGAAGACTGTAGTGGCTGAAGAACAACTGAAGTTACAACAGCACAAAAACTAGGACTGTAAAAACAACACTACTGGGAAGGAAAGAGATTTAAAGTACTTAGAACAAAACACACCTATTGAACATCCCAGCCCTCCCAATTGCATGCAAAAATAAATAAATCCTAACTAAGATATTACCAAGAAAAAAAGATAATTTGGTGCATCGAGTATTAGATGGTAAAATAAAATATCACAAAATTATCTTTTAAGAATTTCTTTCTATACAGAAAAACTGCAGAAAAATATCTTGTAGGTCATCCTAATAATAATAGTCCATAGTTTAAGCTGAAGCGAAGATGTTCAAGCTGCAGCATGACTATGCTCCAGGAAAGCTCACACTTGGCAGCTTCATTGGCTGAGCACTGCTGGCTCTATGACTAAGCAGGCTTCCCTCCCTAAGGTTGAGGGATGAGCTCACATTATCATCATCCTAGCCAGTTACCAGGTTTAGTTTGGGGGTTTTTTTGTTGGGGTTTTGTTTGTTTGTTTTTGGTTTTTGTTTTACTTTAATTTCAGCACAAGAGTCAGCCTGCAGTAGTGCAATAAAACAGCAACGCACTTCCAGGCTTAAGTGTGCTTTGCAGCAGTATGCTCCTGAACGTTTCTTACCTTTGAATAAAGCACAGAGCCAGTTCTGGTACTGTAATTCCCAGAAGATTCTGTGCCTTGCCTCCAAATATACTGAAGTGTTATGATACCTCGCATTGCTTTTACACTGCACAGAGAAAAAGCAGAACCTAGCATCAGTATGTTTTGCTTTAATAACTCTTAAGATTTGGCGTACAACATCATCAGTTATTTTCACTTCCAGGAACTTATGGCATGCAAGAACATCTCTCAACCTTTCTTCAGATGAATATGAATTGCATGTAATCTCCTTTAAAACTGTAAGTATTTTCAGATTTCTAAGGAATTTTTCACGTTGCAAGGCTTTCTCTTCTAGACCTGAAAAGAATGTCAAATTAGATACACATAGACCCAATGGGCACTTAGGCAGTATTTTCTGGAATTAAAAAAAACCATAAGCAAAGTAACACTTTATTGAGCAAAGTTAGGGTCAGCATTTTTAGCTAAAACTTCTCCAGCATATCTGCACTAGACCATTAAAGAAAAATCATAAACACATATAAAACACCACATGGGCTAGATTTAGGCAAAATCTCCTGAAGGACTTAAGTATACAACAGGACTAAGGAGGAGTCTCTATCTGCATCTAGAACACTGTTCTCAAATGAATAAAGTCTTTCAAAACAGATATCCGAGGAGTGCAGAGCCCAGGCACTCAGAGCCACTCCACTAGGCTGCTACCACTCCTGGGCACCCATTAGCAGATTTTACTCAAGCAAAAGTAATAGGTTCTGCACAATCATTTAGACATCCCCATCTGTTACAACCATCTTGTCCTAGTTTATCATTAGCCTGGAGAGTTGGCTATAAAACATTTTTAAATGTATTTTTTAAAGTTAAAGTGTTATTTGATTTAGAGGATAAATTAAAAATACTCCATTTCAACCATTTATTATAAAATATCTCTACCTCCCTTTAAAACTTTTTGCCTTTGTATTTAATAACCACCCTCCATTATTCCATTTCTTTAAATACTCTCTTCACTAAGTATGTGCATATTTGTACAACTTCACGTATCCAGTTCATGACCTCACACACTGTGGTAACCTTAAACTCTACTCTAGCCCACCTGTTGAGGGCTGTGCTGTCCTGTGGTTTGCTTAGTCCATTTCCTACACCATCTATTTTTGGCATGATAAGCAAGTTTAAATTTTGCACATTCCTGATCTCCTTCAACATCATTTGCACACAATTCTCTGATAGACTGCTGAAGAAATTACTTGGGAAAGGCTCTGACTTCTCCTCAAACCTTGGCAAAGTTAAGGAGGCAGAAAATAATAAATGGTTGCAGACCATCTTCTATTTCACCACTTTAATCTTAGCTTTTAGATACTTCTATTTTAGTTTTTTTAATGTGAAAAAATAAAAAGTGTCCCTGGGTTCTAGCTAATGCACACTGTCAGCCTTAACTGCAACAATGCTGTCACAATTCCTTACAGGAAATCTGTCAAATTAGAGTGATGAGAATCCTTTCTCACTAAATCCTCCTGCTGCCAGCAACTCAAATTACTGATCTCCCCTGTGAGTAGCTCAGTCACTTTTAATGATGATGAGCAGATTCCAAGAACAATTTTTACATTTAAGTCAAACACAGCAAGCTATTCAGTGTCCTTCTGACACGGAGCAATCGAGAACTTCCTTCTCTCATTTGTTTATTATCCCACATTTATGAAACAGGTAAAGAATCATGACACACATTTTACAAATGAGGAACAAAACCAGAGGAACTAACTCACTTCTAAGATCAGACAACAAACCAGGTCAAAAATCAAGAACATAATATAAATATAGGGTACTAGCTACCAGTTCCCCTCCAATCCTGCAAGAAAACATGGGTTTAAGTTTACATGCAAAAGATAAAAATTGGGTGTGCTATTTACATATGTGCAGAAAGGGCAAAGACAATTTAATTCCTGCA